GCAGTAGTAATGATTTTCAGCTTTTATAAACAAAAGAGAAACTGAGCTTCATAGGTGACCACACATTCCAAAGATGAATTTCCAAAGATGATATCTGTAATCTTGAATTGAAGCAATAGATCCTTTTAGATGATAGAGTTGCCCAAACAAAAGGTCAAACTAAATACATTGCGACCACAGGAAGCGAAATGGCCAGTCAAAAGATATAATACATTGTAAGTTCGGCGAGAAGGTGCAAGAAGCCCATGCTCCGCCTGCTGCAGTGCCATAGCTAAATGTTCATCAATCTGCCAAGAAGAAACATAAAACTTATGACAACTAAGAATACCTTCTTAGTAAATTGCTAATTAAACATGAATCAGCATAGTTTATATAAGAATTAACCACCTCTACTCCTCCAATAGGCATCTCCTGATATAATTGTTCCTGAAGTTCACGAGCCAATATCTCATCAGCTTCAAGTTGTCTTGCCATGGCATCTGAGTGATCATCATTTGAGCAACCAACAGTCTGGGAGACAGGGTGTCTCATTTCAGGTGACAACTCATCAACCTCAATAACTTCGTTCAAATTATCATGAATTTTTCGGCTCTGGAGTCTAGTTGACCCTGAATTTGAAGACTCCCCAGATGTATCAAGGCACACCACATCTGAAATATGGCATGAAGTATTAATCTGTGAAGTTGATCCATGTTTCTTTTGCCTTTTGTTTAGTTTCCTTTCAGAGAGCGTTGGCCCAGTTGTCTGGTCTATCTTGGGTACAATGCTGGAAGCCCTTCGAGTTGTACCAGCATTTCCTGCAAAATCACTTTCAGCTCCACGTTCTTGCCTGCTAGCGATTTGTCTCTCCAGCACAATTTCAGTTTTTCCATTAGAACATCTTCCAACATTATCTATTTTTCTAAAGGAACTCCCAGATGGATTAAGCAAGGGAATCCCTCTCCTTGAATGAATATGTGTTCTTCTCCAAGCACCTGTTTCTTCAGAACGTTCAGATGTATCTAACCTGGAACTTCCGGCTGGATTAGCTCCAACAGCCTTTTCAGTGTCACTGAAAGCAAATAAGATATCAAGACAAATGCTTTTGAAGGCTGCAGGCATAACAATAAAAATTGAGGCTAAATTTTAGTATGCATTGGTATCAATTTCTAGAATTGTTAAATAAAGTAATTTTTAACTGATATTTAGATAGGGATTCAATTTCCAAGCACATTCAACTGTTGTTAATCCATCAAAACAGTTAATATGTGGTTTTGTATACCTGCGAGAGTGATCACAAAGTAGTGTGTCAAGCAATCATTCATGACTGACAAGACTTTAGTCTCTTGCATGGAGACATGGAATAGACCTGCATGGTCTCCCAACGCCGAATAATTGCACTACAGTGTACAGTGTACGGAAGAGTCAAATCTATATGATAGAAGGTACAGTGGCACTAAGCACTTTCCACGGACCAAATGAAAATGAGGAACATGCTAAGCATGCAACAACTACATGGAAGAGAGTAGTTTTACAAGAATTCTATGGAAGACACCAAGAGATAATAAAATCCTAACTTTGAGGACATAGCTGGATTCAACATAACTACAAAATTGTTTTGTGATTGAAGGATAGCAGAGCATGCAAGTGTCAAAATTAGTCACTCTAGCAGCAACCGATAAGGTTGTTAGAGGATATACGAAGTTCCAATTATAATCAGCAACATTCGTAAGATAAAGAAACTGCTGTTACATCTTAAGGTGAATGATATAACAAAGATGCCACTCCTTGATTCACCTTTTTCAATAGAGTTGAGGTTCCAAAATAAATAAAGTATGAGGGCATCAAAGAAAGAAAAGCTTTAAGCTTAAGAAAAGAGATTCTAATAGCTAAGAAGTACAAGGATCTCAGAAGAACCACCAACTAAGCATGAGTGACAGCATACCAAAAAATACTAATGAACTCACAAGAAAAAAATTTCAGTCTCCGATACCTCATGGCCAACAATGTCAAAATATAAGCAAAAAATAAAAATAAAAAATTTCAGCACCATGTCAACACTAACTAAAAAAATTTTATCCTTGTGAAAGTATAGCATGAGGATGAGCTTTCTGTTACCTGCTAGATGCACAAATAACTCTAACATCATCATCATCATGTGACATAGAAGGCCGACGCATGATCCCTTTTCCTTTCTCTTTGATACTATGATTGTCTTCAGCAACTATTTCTGTTATATCTATCAGACAAGATGGACTGCTTGATGGCATGTTCCCTAAATCACTTTGATCGACAGCTCTAGAACTCTTTTCATACTGCTCAGCTAAATTTTTCGTCTTTGTTGCTATATTATAAGGCGAGATACAACCATTCCGTACTAACCTTTTATGTCCGGCAGCTCTTGGGGAGCTAGTGGAATGATGAGGATCCAAAACTTGCTTTTCATGCCGATTATTAGTGTCATTGGATTTTTCTATTCCCCTTCTATGAATCATGGATAAACCAACATCTTGGAATGATTCCTCAATAACTTTTTCCTTCCCTTTAAGGTTGATGCTGGGTTTCTTTGGAGCATTTGGCATGTAACGTGCAGATTGTTCAATCAATGTGTTCTCCGTCATACAATCCTTAGCTGTAACATGATGATAAACCGTCTGAGGTTTATAGTTATGGTCATGTTCTCTTATTTTTGGAACAACAGTATTTTCTTGACAAGGAGGTTGTTTGGAAGGAGATTCAACAGATATATTTATCCCTTTATCCACACGGCGAGGGCAAGCAAATGGTGTCAATTTTGGCCCCTGACATGAATATTTTTCCCTTCCACCTTTTCTAAGTAAAGGACAGTTTTGTGATGCATAAGAATTCTCTCTTGGTGAAAGAATAAAGGTGTTCCTACGGCCCTTAAAATCATCACCAGGAATATTTTTGGGACTACTATCTAATTTTGATTTGTGCCCATTTTCACTGACCAGCACCCCCATTCCCTTCGTGCCATTCATCCTCTTTTGTGTCATGAAGTCAGGGTTTCTCAAACGATTAGATAAAGATGTACCGGTCTCCGTCTGAACAAACTGTCTGCCGGTAATTTGCCGGGCAGCTAACCGATCAGGTGTATCAGGAACATCCACAATCCATTCAGTCTCCATCTCCTCCATACTCTGCATTGTGGGTAAAAAGATCAGCTCCAATCAATTACTGTACCACCCAACTGGGGGACACTCAACAAAGGACAATTGGAAATTAAACAAAACTAAATGAATATTGATATAGAGGAAAGAGAGAGAGGAGGAGCAGCAAAACCAAGTTGACAGTGACACTCACTAGTATATTTTCCAACCAAACCACAAAAATGTAAATTCATGAACAAAGAGAAGAAAGGAAGGATTTAATATATATTAATAAAAATCTTATCCATCCAATCAGTCCATAATCTCACACCTAGGTGCTCTCTCATCTCATTGATTTGGAATGATTGGCATTTTACAGCTCACTACTTCTAGGTGGTACTACACTTATAGTTATAGCAAATTCTTTTGTAACTACTCCCTTTTGCTTGATCCTTCAAAATTGGAAGACATTCATGGTTTAGTTTCCTTGCGAAGGGGTTTCCTCTACCCTTGCCGTTAGGCTGTTCTCTTTTGTGATTAATACATCTCTTTTAAGTTTCCTATAAATTTTTTTTTTTTTTTAAAAGGCATAGGTACAACTAAAATAGCAATCAGCCAATGGTCAGTCTCAATTGTGAGGGAAAATTAAACAAAATCTTGGAAAACCGCAGGTGCATTTAGATGTGTATATGATAGTGCTATTAAGTGTGTGCATATGATATTCAAAAATCAATTCCTTCATATGTTAGATTTTCTGAAATTGGCAGAGCATTTTCCAAGTTCCTGACGCTTATGCTCTGTGACCCGGTGAGAAAATTTGAAAGAAAACAAACCAAACGATGCCTACCAAAAACAATTAACACGGTAAATTGCAAAAGTTACCACTACAATAAAAGCCTGGTGCACGATTTTCTCTTGCAAAGTCAATTTTTTAATTAGAATCAGCTGGTTGACAAGGTTTGAAAACAAATGAATATAATAAAAGAATTCATACAATAAATGCATATCTTGCAGAGTACAATAGGTAGACAACAACATTCTGCAGGTACTACAGCTCTTACCTTGTATTACGTTCTTATCGTTTATCAAGACCCAACTGATTTAGAAAATTATTTAACTAAAAATCAGAACCACAAGAATTACAAAAACTAAACATTCTGAGAATCTAGGAGGCGAATCGAATATCAAAGTAAATAGTTTGTAGACAATTGTTAATGAAAAGCAACGACCCAATTGAAGTTTTTTACAGTTGAAAACCTAAAAACGCAATAATCAAACAAAATAAATGATCAAACCTCGGCGTGTTTCTCGTTCAAATCCAGAAGAGCGAGAAGCCCACAGGTTGAATTCAAGAACGACGAAGAAGACGATGGTGAGGCCATCCAATCACCTCCATTCTCTTTCTTCCCTTCTCGTGACCCACCGTCTCTATTCCCAGGTAGGAAACGGGTCGGGTCGCACCGGTCATTTGCATTTGGGCTATATGATAAAATTTAGGCCCAATACCCAAACCTTGGCCCAGTTACAGTTCTGGGCTCCCTTCCATTTTGGTCCAAAATTGATGTGTGTTTTTTCATAAAAGTAAGGATTACCACATTAGACTATAATTACATAAAAGGATATAAAAGGATTGAGGGTATAAAATTTATACTTTTTGTCATGAAACCACTATTTAAGATAGTATCCATCACCCAATTTACTAATATATTTTTTTTTGTATCTGTATCTTAATATTAATTAATTTTTAAAATCGAAAATTGGTTACTTGGGAGGTTACATTTTAAATCCCTTAAATTTTGCCTAGTTCTGTTTTCGTACATTCCTTCGTCTCCGACCGTCGTCTGCATTCCTTCGTCTTGGGCCACTCCGTCTGTTTATCCCGATGTTTCTTTTTTGTCGTCGGCTGCCCGTCGACCATTCGAGCCCTCCGTTTATCCCGACCATTGTCTAGTCGCCGATCAAAAGGTTTGTAGGTTATTTGCTTTATTTGTTAATTGTAGAGGGATATAGTCGTATATACTTTATAGTCAGATATATGTTACATCTTCATATAAGTGTATGGTATAATGACTATAGTATTGAAATTTGGCCAAAAATTATAATGAAATGTAATAAATTTCATTATTTAATAGAATATATTAAGGAGTAAATTTGGGATTTGTGAGGATAGTTCAAAATTTTCTTTCTTCAACAAATAGTAGACTATAGATTACATTTGTGACCTTTTTTCTTATGAATTATATTTAAAAGGTTTATTCATGTTAATAGCCCAAATCTAAAATTAAGAATAATAAAACACATAAATGGAGGGAAAAGAAATTGAACATTAATTTTATTTTAATTTATGTGACTCTTCCATGGTCTCTTTATTGAGACTTCATCTTAAATGACTACAACAATAGAATATTCATCCACTTCAATAATTACAGCCAAATTTCTTCCTAAAAGGAAAGGGAGAAAAAGACTCGGAATCAAAATGGTGAAGCAATGGTGAAGCAAGCAAGAAAGGGAGTGGATGTGTCTTAGAAACTGGATTTGTTGTCTGACTCAAGATGTGAACTAGAGGAAGGGTCTCTAACTGCAGGCTCTCGTCTACTCGTCTGTCACGCACCCTCTCGATGCCGATTGCACATTCTTGATGTACTGAGGATGATGAACAGGGTGGGTAGTTTCAGTAACGCGATTTATGAAAAATAAAAACCAAATATGTAATCATAGAGATGGTATGGCAAACCTTGTAGAGGATGCCTCTAGTAGCCTTGTATGCAGGTGGAATCCAGTTATTTCTTCGTTCTTCCATCTCTTGATCGGATAGTTGGACGTCGATTCTCCGATTCTGAACATCAACAGTGATGACATCGCCATTTTGAATCAACCCGATTGGACCGCCTTCCTGGAAAATGGTTACAAAAGCACTCGAACTTTATTTGATCATAGAGGTGGGTATATAGGGAGATAGAGAGATATCAGTCTTAACCATGCGAAACTCTAAATTTCTTGTGTACGTTGAAAGGACGGTCGTAACAGTTTCTAGCAATACAGATTATATTTCTACAACAACATTTTATAAATTTTTTTAAGTGATTTCTAGGACTAGAACAGCAATATCATTCTAAGCTTGCACTATTTCGAAATGAAAATGAGAAACAAGAACAAAAACAGACCTGTGCTTCAGGGCATACGTGACCAACAACAAAGCCATGTGAACCTCCAGAGAACCTACCATCAGTCAGCAATGCCACTTCCTGTGGATGTCAATGGCAGTCAAAAGATGGGGTTAACTACTTCAGAGGGACTTTTGTAATCTGGGTTCAGAGAGAAAATCTGATTAAACTCGATCGTACCTTTCCGAGACCTGCCCCCATTATCGCACTGGTCGGTGTTAACATTTCAGGCATTCCCGGTCCCCCCTTAGGGCCTTCGCCTCTAATTATCACTACTTTACCCTGAAATAATGAAGTTATCCATGTCAACTTTTTCTTAATATAAGTGAGTGTCTTAGAAGCTACAGAAAGAATATATGTGTGAATGCAAACGTGCTTACACAACTGCATATGCACCCTTCAAATTTTGGTTGTTTCTGTAAATTTTAAGGGGTTTGGCTTACAGTTTTTAATCTGAATTTATGAAACTTTGAGATGAGAAGCCTAAATTTATAGATATCGTAAATAATTGGGTTATATAAATACCCGTGTTTAATTAGTGAGTTTACTGTTTGTAAATGTTAGTAACTAACATAAAATATCCACACACGTTACTAATAATTTCATCCAGATATCAGATGAGATTATAGGCCTAAAAGATAGGCCAAAACAGCAATATAAGACGAAAAGTTTAGCAAAGATAAAAGTTAGGAACTAGCCAATGTAATCAAGTACCTTAAAACTTGAAGGGTCCTCTGTTATAGCTGCAATCATAGATTCTTCTCCTTCAAAAACAAGAGCAGGGCCTGCAAAACAAATTTTTTTAAGTAGAATAATGTATTTACATAGAAATTTATTTTCATTCTTTGCAAATTCTTTTAAGAATCTGGTTCTAAATCAGAAATAGGGATGAAATTTTCTAGATTTATGGACAATGTCTTCAAGAATTTGAGTAGAATTCTTGATTCATTTGAGCATCCACTCTCTACCAACCACAGGCAAAGGAAGTAGGAACTGATGCAGAGGCACATGGACAGTGGATGTATGTTGTGATAAACGATAAGGTTCAGAATGGTAATACGGTCAATTTTCCCACTACAAGAGGCAAGGCCAACGCAGTTGTTTAATGAAAAGTTAGCTGTTTCCTCTTTTTAAAAAAGGGGGGAGGAATACTCGACTTTTTATATCAAAATCTAATTGTAAACGACATTTCTGTTCAAGCATCTTGAAAGCTCATTGAGAACATGAAAACGAACCCGAGAAATATAGTCCCTCCTTTCCAGTAATTTTAGCTACTGAACCCTCAGGAGCAAGATTTCCATATAATATTTGAATATGCCCTGTTTTCTTAATGGGATTCTCCAACGGCCTAATAATATCCTGCATAAAGTACAAGAGGTAAGTATAAAGTGTTCTTTCAGATTTTCACCTCTAATGTTGTGTTTCTTGTTAACTTTTGGAGGGGATTCCTTTTCTTTTCTTTAATCTGAACTTTGAAATTGGATGTAATAATATCAAAGCCGTCATACCTGCCCTTCAGATAAAGTTAGGAAAATTTTAGCATTTTCCGCGAGTGTCTTTCCCGTGACTAAAAAAGAAAATGGAAAAGAACATCACCAATTGAAACCACAGAAGTTAAACTGGAAACGCCATCGAAGTACAAAACCAAAACATACCAGTCATACAATCTCCATCTAAAAGTCCTTTCTCCAACAAATAGCGAATGACTCCAGGGGTTCCTCCAATCTATCAAAACAAATCTTGATACTTATCAAGAAGCACGGGTGGACGGATGGACATATATATATATATATAGTACAGGTACATACTACAGTAGACTATAAGCACCCAGTGGTAGCATTTTACATGACTGTAAATAAGATGAAAATAAAATACGTACCTTGTGAACGTCCTCCATGACATATTTTCCACTAGGCTTAAGATCAGCAAGGAAAGGAACCTGATCACTAACCTTCTGAAAATCATCAAGGGTTAAATCCAAACCAACAGACCTGCCAAGAATCTTGCCATTAGCCATAGTGATGTCTACAGAAAGGGGAAAGAAATTAAGGAATATTTTGGCATCAAGCTCTCCTCACCTTGCTATAGCAATCAAGTGTAGCACTGCATTAGTAGAGCCACCCAAAGCCATGACAACAACCATCGCATTTCGTAGTGATTTTTCTGTAATAATATCCCGTGGTTTTAAATCCATTTTTAATAATTCTAGAAGATATTTTCCAGCTAAACGGCATTCATCCAACTTCAATGGATCCTCAGCAGGTGTTGATGAGCTTCAGGAAACATGATTCAAATGAGAAATAAGATAAATCCTGTTTTCCTCACAACTACACGTCAAACTAATGTTGTGGACTGGGGACATATCTTACCTGTAAGGAAGAGACATACCCATAGCCTCAATAGCAGAGGCCATTGTATTAGCTGTGTACATTCCACCACAAGCCCCAGCCCCAGGACAGGAGTTGCGGACGACATTCCTCCTTTGTTCGTCACTTATCGAGCCACTTACATATTCTCCATACACCTAACCGCAATAATAAAAGAGTTTAAAATAGATGAAGTTTCAATCTTGAAAAAACACAGCAACGAACATATACAACCCAATATCATGAGTAAACAATTTCAGATGATCTACTTTTTGTTTTCTTGAATTTCTTAAGGATGTAACATGACCACACTCCAAACTTTTTTGGTCATCAAATGTCTGCAAATTTTTCTATGGTACTACTAATTCCCAGAGTTACATGTTTAAGTAGACACAGAGAGATCATCCCCAAAAAAAGTATTCAGGAATTTTACATATACATAATGAGATTTTAATGCATAACTAACTTTATATGTTAAAATAATGAATATTGAGAATTTTAAATGACATCAAAAGTTTAGAAAATGAAATTTGCTTACTTTTTGGCATTAATACACAGTACACAGGTACCTGAAATGCAGACACTATGTCGTATGTGTGGCCTTGAAAGTGACCAGGCTGCGGAAGAAAAGACAACAGAAGAGAGATAAAATTACAAACAACTTCAAAAAGTTTCACTAATTAAATAGCATTCAAATGAGGACAAAAATCTAGTGTCTGATGGTTAACTATAGAAGGTAGGAAGTTGAGTGATTGAGTATAGCTCACGATTATGGGCATGATAAACGCACACTGGCATGCCTACAACATGTAGTGAATGCATATAAATCTAAAAGCAACAAACTCAGTTACACACTTCACTAAAATGTGAAGGCTTTCATATTGATCATCTTCTGTAGTTCTATTCTGATAAAGATGGTCATGTAAATAAATTTTAAGTTACAAATTTTCAAATACAAACAGAACGAATCAAGAAATTAATTGACACATCTCCTCTGTGTTAAATTCCATACAAATCATTTACAAGAGGATAATTTTTAGCAGGGTTTTGGATAGAAAACACGACACCAGCCTCTTAACAAACATGATTCGATTGAAATATTATATTCAAGTCATGGAAATGGGTAAAATCTAGGTCCCAAACCTTGATCGTTCCACCGTAAACCATAATACTAGGTCGATTCAGCCTACCCATCGCCATTATTGTACCGGGCATCTGTAGAATAGCTAGTTATCAGCACGCAGTTGTAATGAGGGAAAAAAAAAACAAGTAGAACTCTTAACGGGATTCTTTTGTAACTTTGTAACTTTTCATAATAAAATATTTCCGTTTCCTTTTCCAAAAATATATATATATATTACTATTGTTGACTCACAGAAAACCATTAGTGTGGCAGTATTAGACGAAACTTTCAATCAAAATATTGTAGATTTAAAGAGAACAGAGTGCATATGCTTTGATGGAGAAATACTAATTATAACTACGCAGTGATACCATGCAAGTGAAAGTGTGAAAGACTAAAAAATGAAGTTATTACCCACAAATTATCACATCCAGTTCAGTAAAGTAGACTTGTTCTTAAAATTTGACTAAGATTTCAAAAGAGCAAAACCTAATAAAGAAACACAAGCATCAGTAGTTTTCACAAGCTTCAGAAACCCTGAGAACAAATGCGTTAACAAGCAGAATCTAGTAAGTTGGGGATGAAAATGCAGTACTGTAAAATACAAGAGAAAGTAAAACAGAGAAATGAAAGCCCCGTCTAAAAGAACTCAGGTTCAATACAATTCTAGAAACACCCAGCAATGGGGAAAAGCTAAGAGAAAGCTCACATTCTTATCACAGCCCGGGATGGAGATGTTCCCGTCGTACCACTGAGCACTCATGACAGTCTCAATGCTATCAGCAATCAAATCCCTCGACTGCAAGCTATAGCACATGCCTCTGGTTCCCATGGAAATGGCGTCACTGACGCCGATAGTATTGAACCTAAAACCCACCATGCCGGCCTCTTTAACCCCTTCTTTAACAGCCTCCGAGAGCTTCAACAAGTGCATGTTACAGGTATTGCCCTCGTACCATACCGACGAAATTCCAATCTGAGGCTTGGTGAGATCGTCGTCGGAGAGGCCGACGCCGTGGAGAATCGCCTGAGACCCGCCCTGAGACTTCGGCTCGGTGACGCGCGAGCTATACTTGTTAAGCTTCTGCGCGGCGGAGGAGCTGGGCGGGGGGGAGTCTACGGTCACCGAGGGCGGCGGAGGTTGCGTGGTGACATTGGAAATCGAGGCTCTGAGAAAGAGGGGACGGCTCCGCCGGAGCACATTGGTGGAGACAGGCGGTGAAATGGGGATGAAGGTGGTGGCGCGTGGAGCCGGTGAAATGATCGCCGATTGCATTCTGGCGCCGGAGAGAGACGGCGGCGGAAGCAGGGTTTAAGGATGGGGAGTGAGTGAGGAGAAGAGCAGAAATTGGAAAGTGAAATTTGGTAGACGACAAGTTGAGATCGGAGTATTAGTTACTTTTATACTGTTTACAGTTTCTGTACGAGAGAGTTCCTTTTTAAAGGAAAAATAATATTTGTTATCGCCCACAAGCTCTCGAAATGGTGAAACGACGGGAGGCTGGTGGGGTTTTTTACTTTTTTTTTTTTTTTAATAATGTTATTTTAAAACTTATTCCAAACTATTTTAAAAAATAATGTTTGAAAAATAGACGGTAACGACATATGAATAGGTAACAGATCGTCTCTTCAAAAGACGACTCGTCGACGTCCCCACTTTTTGAATAGTGTCCTGCAGATGGTCTTCCCAATTCGAGTCGATTAGGAAAAGATCTAGTCTGCATCGGATTTCCATTTCCTTCCCTTTCCTCATGTTAGACCAAGTGAAAGAAGCGCTATAGAGTGGGAGGTCAACCAAATCACATTGGCGCCACATCAAAATATCAATTACCACTGAACTATGTTTACTTTGACTTTAACGATATATATTTTAGTATACATACTAAATTGACAAAAACTGAATAAGTTTATTATAATATTTTCATATATTAAAAATAGTCTAAATATATTATACGGTCCGCGATCTTATATATTCTATCGAAAGTCTTTTAAATTTCTTAATTTTAATCTATTATCATTGTGCTATTTTTATAGTTCTCTTTTTATTTTGTTAACCTATTTAATCATGAGGACGTGGACGTGTCACTTGGATCACGCCATTTGAAAGGGATGAATTTTATTGATTGGTGAGTCCAATTTTATTGGTACAAAGATTTGATTTAATGTGTTAACTAGTATTCTAAATATATTTAAGGATAACATTTTTTATGGAATTACCCACTAATACCCTTAGTCTAAGCGCATGTGTTTTTCAAAAATTATGAATGAAAACATTATTAAAAACCTTTTGATATAGCATTTCTCAATCAAATTATGATTTATTTTCCTGTGAGTAAATGTACCTTGAAATTTTAACTTCCTTCCCAATGTAGTATTCACGTTCATCTTCAACCATAAATTATTTTCGTGATCAATTGAAAAAATACGTACTGACAATCGACTGAGGGGATATTGATTATCGACTAACAAAAAAGATGGAAGATCTTTTTTTTTTCTTTTTTAGCAAATTATATGATTTATGTGAATTCATACAAATATGTTTTGGTTTTTCTATAACAATGTGTGGGAGTGGAGATTCGAACTTAAGACGGTTTTTTGATCAAACATAGATATATCAATTAGCTGAACTATGTTCGATTGATACATTTTTGTTAAACATTATCTAATATGAAATAGTCGAATATGTATTGTTTTTCAAGCAACATAGTCGAATAGGTATTGTTTTTTAAGTTTGTTGCTTGTGTTTTAAATTTGAACGGTTGGAAATATTAAATTTTTTATTTTTTTTTAATACAAATGTGAAAGGATTATTATGAGAAAATACAAGTGCATTAACAGGCTTATAGTCATGGTTTGATTTTTTTTCTCTTAGGGTTGAATGATATTTTGGTTTTACATCTTCATGCATGAAATTTTAAAATCTCAAATTTAGTTCATGAACTTTTAAATAATTAATCTATCCGAGTACATTAATCTTTATTTTTAAGGACAAAACTTAAAAAAAAGAGAGAGAGATCTTTTTGGTCCTTGTTGTATTACTTGATCACTTACAATTCGATAACCCAATTAATTATCTCCAACCTATATGGTTTGGATACACAGATTCACAATAATACATATACATATTCGAAGTTGTTATTGATTTGCTAATATTAAGATAAAAGTAACCATCGAAATACATACATATATATATATATATATTTTTGCCAATTAAAACACAGCTCAACTAGTTTGATCAATACATCTCAAACCAAAAAGACTGTAAGTTCAAATTCTCACCTCCACTTCGTTTGATGTATATTAAAATGGACCAAACAACCATTATTAAAAAGAAAAGTTGACAAAAAAGTCATTGGAACTTTTGTTTTGCAATACAACTTTAAATTAAAAACCACAAATGCCACTTGGCTACATGCACTAAATCCTCTTTTAACTTCACTCAACAACTCAAAGGAAATACATGCAACTATAACCAATGGGCAGAACTAAACAGCTTAGTTTGCAAGTTTGTGAGCAAATACGTCGAAATTCATCCTAACATGCGAGAAAACAATGTTATTTGAAATCTATGGATAAATATCATATATTCTATATCCAAGTGTGAACTCATTTGTCAGTACTTGAGCTACGAAATTACGATTCAACTAAAAAAAGAGTCGTAAAATGAAAAGCTTTGCATTCCACACACTGTATTAAAAAAATAGAACTTATTATATTTATAAAATTACTTTAATTTAAAAGTAACCCAATAATTAATGTGAGATTTATTTCAAATTTGGTAGTTTTGAATTTGTATTTAATAATTCATAAATAGCCGTAACAACCAATGTAGCTTTTTAAATCACGTAGGAAAATCAGGTGGCGAAGTTGATTGATTCCAATAGGCAGCAAGTCCAAATTCAAAATTAAAAAATAAATATTCTTTTAATAAGTCAATCCAAATTTTATTTTTTAGAGCGGGCCGATCCGGTCCGGTCACTAGCTTTTTATTTTTCCGTTTTTCCCCCAAAGGTCACGCGTTTTAATTTAAAAAATAATAATAATTAAGACAGCATCATTTAAATAATATTTAAACAATCCATTTTTGTTTTTAGCACGAACATCGAATTCACGAATTCTTGTTAGAAAACAAAATACTAAAAATAATAACATAGTTAATTACAATAAGAAATAGAAAAATATATGAAAATAAATATATGCATTGCTCATGATGAATTAATGTTAGAAAACCAGTGTAAAGGATGATTTTAATGTTATTATGTTTAGAAATCTAAGTTTAAACGTAGTTTTTTATGTAGAAAATTTATTTAGTAGTGGTTCACGACCTCTTGATTGGATATATATGTAAATTATCGCTGAACTATGTTTCATTTGATAAAATTATATAAAATATAAACAATATATTTTACTTTGAATTACGCATTTATTTGTAATAATATGTTATTTTAAATTATTAAGACGAGTAAAAAGGTAGAAATTAATTTTAGAGGAATCAAGTCAAATTTCACGTTATGAATGATACAATATTTAAATTATTCAATGACAATTAAATGCTATATTTGTCATGTAACATCCGTGGGCACAAATAACATATAATTTTTATAAAAATTACAATACAATTGTAAAATATATATTATTTTATTATATCCGTGAGTGTTCAAGCTAGTTTACACGCACTTTGACCTTCTGACCCTTATTACATTTAGTTGTTAAGAAAGTTTAAAAAAAATATTAAAATTTGAACTAATTCCTTCTAAAACATTATATTTTTAAAAATAAATATGTAAAATAAAAAACAACAAAGTCAACTTGACCATAGCTTAACTAGTCAAAGCACCTATTTTTAAAACGATAAAAGTATTTTCCTAAATAATGTTTATAAAATAATTGTCCTCCTCACCCATTAAATGTGACAATTAAGAGAGATAAATGTATAAATATATAATTTTTTAAAATAACAGTGAGTTAGTGAATGTTCAATGGTTCACTGAGTATTTTTCATATATTTTTTTAAATATAAAATAAATTAAGTTAAAAATTTAGTATGTAAAATAAAAAACTATCTAAAAAAAATCCAATTAGCTTCTTATTCTTATATTTTTGGGATGTTACTTTTTGGGTAATTAATTAGAAATTAAATGGGGAAACGAGGAGAGGAAGAAAGAGCAAGTTCCTCCTTTTCTGGCTCACATGGCGACTTTCCATTTCGGACCATCTGTCTTCTTCTGACTTCGTTTTACCGTCCTGTGTGTTCTTATCTGATAAACTCTCAGTTCCAAAAGGTAAAACACAATTACATAAAATCCCACTTCAATTTCTTTATCTTTCTTCTATGCTTTTGATTTTTGATTTTGATTTTGATTTTGAAACGCGTCCTCTCTTGGACAAACCCCCAAAATCCCTGCAATTACTCGTTTCTCCAATTCAATTCTCTCCTGTAGATCGCTGTTTCAATTTTTGTTTGTCTGCCTACCAAATGCTTACGGGAGCCTTTTTCTCTGGTTCCTCTTTTTGATACAAACATTATTTGTTGGGGTTTGCCCTTTTGTTTGGATGGTGGGGTTTTGCTGCTTTTTTCTTCTTGTATTCCTTTCTTGATTCCTTTACATATTTTTATCCATTTCTTTACGGATTCTACTGCTGTTGATTATATATTTATTTCCCCCTCTCAATTTATAATTCGTGCTTCACGCACCCACATGCATGTTTTTGGGTTTGTCTGATCTGGATTGGATCACAAGGATCTTTTGTTCTTTTTCTACTTGCAGAGAGAGAAAAAGAGAAGGGAAAGAGAGAAAGAAAGAGAGAGAGAGAGGTTGGAGGGGGTGGGGTTGAGTCTCTTTTCCTGCAATCTTGGTATCTGGAGGGGTCGTGGAAGAAGCAAACAGGAGGAGGAGGAGGAGGTGAGATTTCTTGACTTGAAGGATATTAGCGGTGGCCCACTTTGAGATACTTTTCTTCTTTGTTTGATATTGGTGTCAACGTTTCTCTACTGGGCTGTCGCCTGTCTTCTCGTGACGGCCCGGGTTTAGTCAATTGATTCTGCTGGAACTCCGGGAAGGATTCAAGAATTTCTTCTCTTTTTGTTGGCTAATTATGATCTGGGCTTTTTGGTTCTTCCTGGGTTGAATTTACGTCTCCTTAATCATTATGTCCTCGCTCGTGTGCTCCACTGTGTTTATTGAGTTTCATCTCCAAACAGTGGACTTACTTCCTCCGTCTTTCTGGAGTTGTTGAGTTGAATGACTCTTGATTTGGAGTACTCTTAAGCCATGGCTGGTATTGATGTTTCGAAGTATGCGCATAGCCCTGTACACAAGGCTGTGGCCACCAGGGATTATACCAATCTCAAGAGAATCCTTGCGAGTCTTCCTCGGCTCTGTAATCCGTCTGAGATCCGCACCGAGGCTGCTTCATTAGCTGAGGAAAGCAAGGCGGATGCTATTTCTGCCATGGTTGATCGCCGAGATGTCCCAAATCGGGACACTCCGCTGCACTTGGCTGTAAAGCTCGGGGATGAGACTGCTACCGAAATGCTTATGGTCGCAGGGGCAGATTGGAGCTTGCAGAATGAGCATGGTTGGAGTGCTCTTCAGGAAGCGATTTGCAGTAGACAAGAAGGGATTGCTATGATAATAGTCAGGCATTACCAGCCATTGGCTTGGGCAAAATGGTGTCGGAGATTGCCTCGCTTGATCGAGACCACGAGAAGAATGAGGGATTTCTACATGGAAATCACATTCCACTTCGAGAGTTCGGTGATTCCTTTCATTTCTAGGATTGCTCCTTCAGATACTTACAAGATCTGGAAAAGAGGTGCTAACTTGAGGGCAGATATGACACTGGCTGGTTTTGATGGGTTTAGGATCCAACGTGCTGACCAGAGTGTTCTTTTTCTTGGCGATGGGACAGAGGACGGGAAAGTACCTCCTGGTTCACTTTGTATGGTCTCGCACAAGGAGAAGGAGGTAATGAATGCTTTGGACGGTGCTGGTGCTCAGGCTACTGAAGAGGAGATTAGACAAGAAGTGACTGCAATGTCTCAGACTAATATATTTAGACCTGGAATTGACGTCACGCAGGCCGTTCTTTTACCCCAGTTGACTTGGAGGCGCCAGGAGAAAACCGAAATGGTGGGTGCCTGGAGAGCTAAAGTATATGACATGCATAATGTGGTTGTAAGTATCAAATCTAGGAGGGTCCCTGGGGCTATGACAGATGATGAGTTCTTCTCATCTTGTAATGAAAATGAAACTGAGAGTGAGGAGCTTGACGACATTTTAACCGAGGATGAAAGGAAGCAACTTGAGAATGCACTTAAATTAGATTCATCGGAATTGGCTTCTGAAAATGGTGATGCAATTGTTGGGCATCGCCATAGCTGTTTCGAGCAAAGGGAAGTTCCTGTCGAGGATGTAAATGGATGTAGGAATGGAGAGATTAAGCAGGAAAAGAAAGGATGGTTCGGGGGATGGAGGAAACGGGATAGCAAACATGAAGGACAGAAGAAGATTACACCTCCAAGAAGTTCCCTTTCTATGGATGATAAGGTAGGCGATCTTCTAGGGGATTGTCCTCCTGAAAATCATAGCAGCAGACCTGGAAGACATTCGGTAGAGATAGTTTCCGAGCACCGAAGAGGAAGGGAAACCAGAGCTACCACTTCGGCATCTGATAGCAAAAATCGTCACAAGGATGGGAGTCATGAAAATGAATATAAGAAAGGGTTGAGACCCGTTCTTTGGCTTTCTCCAAACTTTCCTCTACAAACTGATGAACTATTGCCATTGCTGGATATTTTAGCTAACAAGGTCAAGGCAGTCCGTCGTTTGAGAGAACTGCTCACCACAAAACTTCCAATGGGAACCTTTCCGGTCAAGGTATGATTCTGATTCTTATTCTGTTTAGCTGAAATTTTTATTTAATGAAGAGGAACTGGAAGATAAACTTTTCTTATTCTTTTCTCTTAATTTTTATTTAATGAAGAGGAACTGGAAGAAATCCCTCAACCATGGCAGAAGTTTGCTAGCATAAGATCGATCGAAATATTTTAGATTTTACGTCCACAAGCCTGCTCTTTACCACTTATCTCCCCATGGATGTGGTGCGTCTTAGTTCTTACAATTCAAAACCTGATATAAGAACTTTGTTCTTACCCCTAGCTTTTATGAGTTTAATCCAGTGTTGTACCTGCTGGTTTCAATATCTCAAATCTTATGGCCTTTGACGCAAGTAAAACTAAAAGACCTCAACTTTCAACATTGTCTATAACATGTGGTACATGTTAGGCCTTGCTAACTAAACTCTGCTATGAGTTCAGACTTTCTCTCTTTCCCTTCTTCTTCTTCATGTTTCTAGGAAATGATTCATTCATGGATGTTGAAAATTAGTTCACACTTCACACATGAATGGATGTTTTGAGAATTACTTGACTCAACAGAACTTTGAAATTATAGCAGCTTTACAATTTCATTACCCCAAGCATGTGAAGAAATCAGCTTTTTCTTCAGCTTTTTATTGATATGTGAAAACTTACAAAGACACACCAAAACACCAAGGACAGGCCGAGTAATAAGCAACACAAAAAGCTAGACCCAAAGTAATAGTGGTGTGCACGTGGAAGAATCCATTCTTAATTCATTCAATTCTCAAGTAATCAAAGTTGGCAGAAGTGTTCTTATTTTAGAGAAAAAGAAAAGTTGGCACAAGTGTTTGGACCGTTACAAAGCGTCAAACCGGATGAGAGGTTTAAGTTCGAACCTTCGGATGAGTTTATACAAAAAGGAAAAAAAATCCTTGATGTCTCCAAGGTATA